GCTCGGGCTGCGTCCAGCCCTGAGCCGCTTAGCTGTGCCGCGGCGCTTTCGCCTGAGCTCAGCCGGGACGCTGTGCCCCCGCAGCCTGGAGGGGGTTATGGGACTCGGTTTTTCATAACCCTTTTCCCAGCTCGGCCCGTTTAAAATTCGCCCTGCTGCTACGGTTGTTTACTACGTGTAATGCCAGCGTTTGCCGGATTAGCCTGACTCCGCGCCTGTAACAGCTGCTTACGAGGCTTCGAAATACGAAGGTAGAGGAGCGAGTGTGTGAGTTCCACATGGAGACCAGAATCACTAGGCGGATTTTTATGAACTTACCCCTAAACAAAACAGTGTTTCTTCAAGGAAACTTCCGAGGTGATCCTCGGTGTGTTGCTGATGTCCAGGGCTTGTGGAACAGCTTAATTAGTTTCTTCCTCGCAATTATTTTTATTCATGATACTTTCTAACTTTCCTGACAGAAAGCATCCGGTTGTGGAATATGTTTGTGGCTTCCCCCGAGGGTTACATCCCAGCAGCTCTGGAAGGGAAGTCTTAACTTTCCCTCCTGAATTGTTGTAGTTACAGAAAACGCTTAGCAGCTGTGGGCAGAGCCTTCCTGTGAGCTCAGGAGTCTGTTGGTTTCCTGTTCCATGTCTTAGTTGTGTGTTTGGTTTGTATAACAAGGCCTGAGCTTTCTTAGCCGCGAAGACTCAATGACTTTGTGTACGTTTCTGTTTACGTCCTGCCAGTGAACAGGCTTTTCCTTTAAATTCGTGCCTTTCAGGATATCACTTGTCCTTGTAATGAACTATCCCTATCTTGGTGTGCATCGAGTTGACAGTTTCCTGCTGGTTCTAAGTGCCTCATGCTGTGTGGCGTTTGAGCCACACAAGTTGCAGCAGCCTTGCTCCGTGGGGTGGAGTGGGTGATCCATTCCCCTCTCTTCATGTCTGCATGAGTCACTTGAAAACAGTGAACTGCCCAGAAGAAATAAGATGCTAATTTAACCTCTTTTGCCGGTGGTGATAGCAATAACAACAATACCTTCTGCCGTTATTTCCTCGGGGCTCTGATAGCTTTTCCATGTCCTGATTGTAAACTGAGCTCGTTTGCTTGGAAAATAACAAAGACAATGAAGATGAAGGCTCAGTGCCTTGGTAACTGTACTTTTTCCACTAGGTGTGCACTTTGTCTGTGGATTGTGGATCTCTAAAGTTTCCTTTCTCTGCCCTCCCCTGCCCTCATCAGCTTGTACCCAACAGTTTTGTTAGTACCTCTGTGGCAGTGAAGTCACTGAGAGACAGCTGTAATGAAACTGTGAATTGCAAGTTTTTTCCAATTATTTACTTACATATTTCTTTTTACTTTCCAGTTGCCAAAGGATCTACTCTAGGGAGTGAAGCAAGACTTAAAAGTATGTATTTGCACCAGGAATGGTGTCTTATTTTTTTTCCTCTTCTTTTGTTGTTGTTGTTGTTTCTTGTTACTTGTTGTCAGAACATGCCCAATTCATGTCTGTTCCAGTGGAGATTAACTCAGCTGCTATTGAACATTATTCAGGCTATGGGGAACTTTACTCCATGTTTTCCAAACACGAATGAGGATCTCATCTTCCCTCAGCAGGACTGAGAAATAGTTCCCTGTGGGAAATACAGCACTAACAGCTGAGCAGCAGAGGTTGGTTGTGGTGTGGTTTTTTCCCATTACCTCTGTCACTGGGCCTAGGACAAGCTTGGAAGAGACAAGTCTTCGAGGCTAATTTTTCAGTAATGCCAGTCTGCATTTTTAGTTGGTTACTGTGGCCTCCCTTTATAGTGACTCGGATCATGTAACTCATGGGCTGAACTCTGATACTGGGTCAGTTTGCTCTGTCTTCGCTTTTTAATCCTATCTTTTTTCCCCTGCCTTCTGTCTGCTATGGAAGGAAAGACTTCTGTGTGCTCCTTTTTTTTTTCTTCAGCTGTCAAACTCTTCCGTTTTGCTGGTGACATTGACACTTTCTCTGGTTTATATTTAAGGCAAGAGGAAGTGCTTGCAAATAGTTGTGCCTGAGCTGGTGAAACCCATGACTGTGCCAGAAGCCCTTTTTCTTTGTTCCTGGTCCTAACATGTAGGGTGGGCTCACTGGTGTGCTTGGTAGGTGTTAAATAACTTCCTGTGGATTAATCTGAAGTAAAATCTTAGTACTTTTACAAATGAACAAGGCTTTTCCACTCTATTTAAAGCAGTTGTGGAAGTGTTGCTTTTCCAGCTTAGAGCAGGATTCGGCGTTTTCCAGATGGGAAAGTGCATGCAATCTCTGGGCTGCAGCTCAAGTTGGCAGTAACACTTAGGTTCTTCTTTAGTAGCCTGTGTTGAAAGCTGGGCTAAAGATCAGCCTGCTTGGCTGTTGCAGAGTCTAAGAAATCAGACCTGTTAACTCTCATGAGTGACTGAAGGTACTTTTTTTTGTCTAAATAGGCCTTGCAGACTAACATCTGCTTTCTTGGAAGCTTAGTAGTGGAAAATAGCACCTGTGCTTCTTTGTGGTAGGTAGTGATTACATGAATTTGTGGCCAGCTGTTTAGAACGGGGGTAAAAAACCCACCGTCTGCTACTAAAATAGATGTACAGGCTTGGATATTTCACCTCAGTAAAGAAAGAACAGCAAAATAAGTTAGACAATCTGTCTCCCTCTGGTTTCTCAGGAGAGCTAATTTAGATCTTGGGGGCTGGGATAGCTGTGCTAAACTTGGTCCCAATCATTGCTAATACCAACATTTCAACTTCCATCTTTCCTCTTCGTTTTCTCATTGCCAATAAATAAATTCAAGGCAAATCTTTACGCAGGGGATTCTGCCTTCAGAGTTGCTGTCAAAACCCCTTCTTTTGGTAAATAATTTTTCTACCTTCAGTGTTTTTATTCCCTTTATCTAGCAACAGTTTTAGGTTCAGTGTAGTACAGCAGTAGCAGCTGCTCACAAAAATAGCCCTGATTAGACAGACAAGTGAAGCATATTTTTCTGCTTGGGTGATATAAGAAAAAAGTAATTTGGAACTTTGTAATTTATTCAATTGAACTTTCATTGTTTTTCAGTTCAAGTTTACTAGTACAGTATATGCAGAGAGATTAAAATTTCATTATTTCCTTTCATACTGTCAGGAAAGTAGAAAATAATCTATTTCTGTCTTCCTCTTCATCTTACTGTTTTTAATAGAATGCAGAGCTAATCTAGGAAACTCTGACATTTGTCTTCAGACTGAAGCCTCATGATTGGGTAGAAATGTATTAATATCTGGAGTACTTAACAGAAAAAGAATAGTTTTAAGAGGGTTAAATCACATAACACTGTTTAAAAAACTATGAGCAAGTTCCAGTTTGGATTGGGTATTGTGGTAGCTGTTTACTTTGCTGTAAGGGATTATGCATGGTGAGTTTATTAGCCAAACCAGCAGCTGTTAATTTGTATTGAGGTTTTAAACAATGACCTGTTCTATTTTCATCTTCTGTTGAGGTAAACAAATTACCATTGAAGTATTTTTAAACACTGTTTTTCAACTTGCAGGTGGATACAGGCACACAGATGGCAGATAACAGGTATGTTGGATTGTGCTCTTGAAATTAAGGCAGTTAGAGCCAAATGTATATCTGGTCCTCTGCTGGAGAGTTGTTTGTTCTTTAACCTGTGAAGAGTAAACTTGAATAAGAAGAAAAGAGTAGGGTTTTTTTCTCTAACTAGGGTGTGTTTGCTTACAGCAAGGACAAAATACTCATTTGGAACAGGAGAAGCTGAGGCTGTAATGTATCAGATACTACATTGCTCTTGGCTTGGATTAGCATTTGTTGTCTTGATTTAGCTTTCGGTGTTCATATTTAAATGCTCTAAAGACTTGAAGAGAACACTGATCCTCAATGTTTCTCTAATCAGTGTAATTTAAGCATGCAGAAGGCACTGTTCTATTTCCTAGTGTTTAGAGTGTTTTGGGGAGCAAACAACAGTGTTATTGAACTGGTGTAAACCTCTATGTGCTGCTGCTCTTCAGAGGCTTGTGGTGCACCAGGGTAAGCTGGATAAGCTCGTCTATCCGGTAGCTCCTAACTCTCATCTGCAGATATGGTATCACTTCTTTTGTGCTTGAGTTAGGGTTCAGTTCAGCAATACCCAGGCTGTATTTTGTGACCTGGAAACTTGGAGCACAGAGAGTGCTTGTTGGCTCTTGACTCCTGCTGGGCCCTCACTTTCTCCAGCATGGAAAGTGTGATGGAAGACATTGTGGCAGAGACGTGGGGAGGACAGGGACATCTCTTGTAGAGTAGAAGTGAATGTTTTTACTATTAATCAAAACAGGTTGTTGTGGAAGTTTGAAACAGAGCTTTTGTCTCTTATTTATCTTCCTTTCTTACCTGTATCCTTTCCCCTGTTTATCAGTTACACTAAAAGTGTTTTGTAGTTTCACTTGTGAGTAATAACATTTTTCTGTGCCAAGTGACGTAGTACAGATGATTAAGCCATTCACTTAATGAGATGAATTTATCTGTCAAGTGCTTTTTGTTTTGGGGTTGTTTTTGTTTTGTTTGGGTTTCTTTGTCTTGCCTTGCCTTTGCATCCTATTCGTCTTAGAAGATCTAGTTTCAAATCCAAACCTGTAAGTTTTTAGAAGCCTGAAGACATAAATACAGTCTTTTATTGGCATATTTTTTTAATAAAGCATCCTGTAGTTAACACTGACAATTGAGAGCAACTTGTTCTTAAATGTTAACATTTTCATAATGTGATGCCTTTTTAATTTGTTACATTTCTGATCTTTTAGTAAAACAGAAGATACTGCTTCGGATTCTCTGGAGGCTGCTAAAAATGCAACCAACAAAAAAGGTAAGAAATCCACAGTAGTAGCTAACATTGCAAAGGTGAAGTAAGCCTCCTGCCTTGCGTATTGAAGCTTCTTTGTCTGTAGTTCCAAAACCTTTACTGTCAAAACTGCAGATGTTAAAAAGCAGAACAATGGTTTCTAGGCTAACTGTAGAATCATAGAATCATCAAGATTGGAGGAGACCTCTGAGATCATAGAGTCCAACCATTAACCTGCCACTCTGCTGGAACCCCTAAACCCTGAACTATTTCCTCCAGCACCAGATCCAGCTGCCTCTTAAACACTTCCAGGGATGGTGACTCCATCACCTCCCTGGGCAACCTATTCCAGTGTCTGGACACCCTGACAGTGAATCTCCCCTGTCTCAGCTTATGACCATTCCCTGTTCCCTTTCAGATGTTTTCCATGTTTATTGAAGCCAAAAGCAGAATGAAGGCTCTATTTTTGTAACAGTGAAAGTATTTTTGTGCATGTTGTGACTAGGATGCTTTTCTGTTGCATGAAGTAACTCACTAGACACTTGCAATAAGGCCTGTATAGACTAGCTTTTAACAGCATGTAATCTGTGTCACCATGTTATTAAAATGAGCAGTTCTGTATGTGTGCTAGTTCTTTACTGTCTTGTTTGTGGGAAGATGCATCTTTATAACGTGTTCTATTGAGGTTTTTATTCTCCATTTGGAAGGCCTAGAGATAACTGCTGGATAGTGTTGTTCAATTTAATACTTCTGTGTGCTGAAAGCTCCAGTTCCATTACTACTCTGAATATTCAAATTTGTAAGTTACAATGAAATATGTTTCACATGTGGTCATCACATATTCTTTAGGTCTTCCTCACTACCTTTCTTTAAGAAAGCCTTTGTGACTTGCAGTTGGAAATCACATATAAACTAGTAGACACTGTTGAATAATTCTTACAGTCAGGTTGGATTGAGGAAAAAAAAACAACAGCAAAAAAACCCCAAAACCCAAGAAAAACAAAACACACAAACCCAACCATAAAAGCTCTATAGTGTTAGTGTGTGCTATGCAATTACTGTTTTTCTTAATGTCTGGGGAGAAGAGCAGTGAGGAAGAATGGAAAGATGTGAAAAGCAAATGTCTTGACAGCCTGTGTGGTTGTTAGTAAGAGTTTTTAACTCCGAACTAGAAGCAGTTTAGATCTGACCTCCTGTAAAAACAGTCCTCTGTGTTGTGATGACTGTTTGAGGAGTATTGCAGATTGTATCTTGGTGGAAGAGAATTGTCAAGGTCATGTTGCTGTGCTGCTTTGTTGTACAGTACACAAAGTACTTGTCAGTTTTTTTCCAGGAGCAGACTAACTGGAAAACAAATGTCTTGGAAGTACAATTCAGTGCTTCTTCTCTTGAAAATTTACATATGGCTTATTAGGATACATCTAATACAGAGGGAGGATAGAGAAACTCCTGTTTTGTACTTTCTTACATAAAGGGAAAGCAGGCAATTTGCTCATGTTCTCACTGTACTTCTTGCTTGTGAAACCAACTGATAGAATTGCAAAGAGGTGCATTTTCTATCATTATTCAACTTCATCTTTCTAAAATCTGATCCTGAAGTCACTTTGGTGTTATTAGTTACCCGTAGTGTTGTTACGTGAGATCTGAAAGTATTATTTCTACTGGGAATGCTGTAAAACAGAGTACAACAAAAGCACTATAAATTTATGCAGTCTTGTTTTAAAAGTGGTTTTCTGTCTTTGTAGAAAAGTTAGCAGACCAAGTGATGCAAAATCCACAGGTCCTGGCAGCTCTGCAGGAATGTCTTGACAACACAGCACTTACTCCTTCAAGTTACATCGAAACGTAAGTTCTGGACGTAACAAAATTCTTGAGAGACTGAAAGCATAATGGAATGTTATTAGTGTGTAATTAAGGTAGGAAATGAGAACAAATGATTCACTAAGAAAAATGATTGGCTTAAACCATGATTCATAGTGGCCTACTTCTGGAAGGAGGAGTCAAGTTTAAGTTTGCTTGCGCAAATTTGCAAACAAAACTTTGTCCAGTTCAGTATTTTCCCTGGATTATTGTTTTGGATAGCAGCAACTCCCCTCCCCACATCTGGTTCCTTCTGTGGCCCTTACTCTGTCAGGGCAGGCACTGCATTGATGATTTCTGTAAGATTGCTGTCCAGGGTGTAATGGAAGGTTCAGGATCTGTAAATGCCTAGTTTGAAGCTTAGTGTTGTATTAACTGTAGAGCAGTGCCTTTAGGAAATATTTATGCTTTTATTTCTTGACTGAGAGTAGCTGGTGGTAGAGCTCTGTTTAAAAAATGTAAGTGCTAGAAAGAGTTCTTTTTACATGGCTGTATATGAATGTTTATAAAGTTAAAGTGCAGATAAGCAGGGTGTACTTTGAGTGAGGCCCATGAATCAGAACTTTCCCCTGTAGAATTTACAGTTCTTATTTCTCATAGATGGATCAACACAAATCTAGTCTCAAAGTTTAGGTGTTTACACCAAGGTAATAATTTCAGGTCTCTGAACTACATGGGGAGGGTGGTGGCCCTAGGGCATGGAACAGAAGGTAACACCTTTTAGAACAGCTTGGATAGGAGAGGATTCTTTCAATTTTTTGAAATAGGTTTGGAAGAAAGGTGTGTTTGCCATAAGCCTTTCAAGAATTGCACATGGTTGCAGGCAGCCTGTTTCACACTAACCTGTTAAATAGTGCTGAGGCAACTCACTTCTAACCTTACAGAACTGTTTTGCTTTTAGTTTACCAAAAGCAGTGAAAAGAAGAATTGATGCCTTGAAACAGCTCCAGGTGAAATGTGCCCATATAGAAGCTAAATTCTATGAAGAAGTACATGATTTAGAGAGAAAATACGCTGCACTCTATCAACCCCTTTTTGATAAGGTAGGAAGACTGTATATCATTTTTTCTTGTTCTAGTCAGTTCTGTTTGTGTATGTATGATTTTGCATCTTCAATTACATTTTGGATTTTTCTAACACAGAGAAGAGAGTTTATTAATGGGGAAGCTGAACCCACAGATGCAGAGTCAGAGTGGCACAGTGAAAATGAGGAGGAAGAAAAACTGGCTGTGAGTACAAGCTCAGAGGTGAACTACAGATATATCAGATTGTTAGAGTTAATTCCTGTTCTTTCCATTGAAAGATTCACCTTTTGTATCAGTAATGTGTTCGTGTGATGAATACGCTCTTATGTCCAGTGAAAGCCTTTAAACTATCAGTTTAGTCTTTCTTCAGATTTGTAACTTGAGTTGTAGTCGGGTTGAATTGAAAAGCTCCTTTGTTGGCACTGTTCGTAACCTGTTAGCAGCCTCCTCCTGGTAATGGGTTCCATTCCAGTGCTACATGACACCCCAAGGTAATCGAAGGCTGGCTTTTTGTCTGCCTGTCCCTCTTATTTTGGGGGACATAATTAGCTTTCATTTTCATAAGTGCAGATTAGACACATGTCACTTAGTTACAAAATGGAATTGACCTAATAAAATGTGTACTGGCTAGTGGGTTCCTTTGTGTCTATAGAGTAGGAGCTATCTGGGTTTAGTAGGGGTAATGTAGTCTGTAGGCTGCTTTTTACTCTCCTATGATCTTTTTTGGAGGTGTATGCTCATGGCTGGCTTCTCTTTCTCAGAGGAGTGACCTACTTAGAAAGCTCTGTTTGCCATCCTGTTGGGTTTTCTTTGCCTTTTTTCCTTGGCCTGATTTCATTCAGTTTTCTTTGGACACTGTTCTGTACACAGAGCGAATTGTTCTCTTTGTTTTTACTGATCTCCTGAGATTTAGCAGGACACAGTACTCCATGTGCATAAGCAAAAACTGTTTGTTAGGCTTTGTGTAAATACAGCACTGACAGGCCAGATCCCACACAATTACAAGATCAGAAACATGTCTGCATGGGAAGGAAACTGCTGCTTCATATTCTTGGCTAGTTGCAAGCTGCTAAGGAGATCTTTAAATATCTGCTGCTATCTAGTGGTGTGGAAGGGAAGGTGCAATGCTACTGAGTCAGGCTGCGAATTTCCTGGGGGTTTGGGGACAGAGAAATGACTTAGTCGTTCTTTTGTAGGACATTTAACATGTTATATGTAGGGAATCCTGTATCACAAAGTAGTAATATAATGAAAAATAACCATGGACACCGACTTTACCAAGTATTCTGCAAAATTGGGGTGGTGAAACAGCATTTCAGAGGGCAAATTTAAGACATAAATACTTAGATGAAACACTGTAAATGGCCCGTGGAGGTACAAAAATGAGATTAATAGATAAATAGAAATGTGTTTACTGTTTTTTTCCTGTTTGTAGAAAGACAGAAATGTGTTGTAATTATTTCTGTATTTAATCTTCATGTAGAACTACTGCACATGAGTTGAAAGCAAACTCAAGTTAAAGGTATATATATTTAGTTCTATAAATAAACCTTGTATCGCTTAACTTCAGTTACAGACAAAAAACCTGCATTTCAAATGTTCCTTAAAGACATCTTCAGAGATGGCAATTGTTTGGTGCATCTCCCTCAGGTTCATATTCAGAAGTCACAGTTTAGTTTCTGAAATGTTTCTGTCTTTGTTTCTTAGGGAGACCTGAAAAATGAAATGGTAATAGAAGAAAAAGCAGAAGAGACAAATGTCAAAGGAATTCCAGACTTCTGGTTTACTATCTTTAGGAATGTAGATATGCTAAGTGAATTAGTACAAGTAAGTTCCTCCTCAGAATTAATGACTTCTGTGTTAAATGAATTGCTGCTTTCCCCCATTAGCAGTGAATCCTCATGGAATGCGTGTGAGAGACCAAATCTTTGAGTCTTTAGAATCCCTGAAGATGCTTGAAAGGCTAATGACAGACAAGCAGTATTAATTTAGTCCATAAAGGATGATTTTTGCAGGGGTGTTACAAGAATACCCATGGATTGGTTGAATCCATGTGAAAGAGCTTATGTAGCTTTCCACGCAGTTATATTAAATGTCTTTAATACTGTTAAGGTAAGAATTCCCTGAAGCTTGTGTTCCTGTGAATCTCACTGGCAATAAATACCCTGCATGAAGTGACTATTTTCAGTCATACACAGCTTGGTTCCTGGCAGCTTTATTTGCTGAAGACCAGGCCTCATGATAAAGGGTTTGGCACATAGTATTTGTAACTACAATTAAGAAATCTGGATCCAGATTTTTACTTTAGCTGAAACTGTTGAATCATTACAGGGTCTGGTTCTTTCTTAAGTGTTTGTTCTTCTAAATATTGCCTGCTCAATAGGGTTTTACTTTTATCTGCTTAGGAATATGATGAACCTATCTTGAAACATCTGCAGGATATTAAAGTGAAGTTTTCTGAGCCTGGACAGCCTATGGTGAGTTTGCTTGTATGTCATGGAGATTGTAGTAATGAAGTGAACAGCATTCCAAAACCTTCATTCAGCTCTCTTTGGCTATAGTGTGTCTGAGAGGTTTCTTTCTAAGGTGATATTTTCATGCTTTGCCTTTTAAAGATTTATCTTCAGCTTTCCTGACCCTTTGCTCTTTCATCCTTAGCCTGATCATCGCTGACATCATTGTAGATCATTTCTAGATTAAATTTCTGTCTCAGTTCTGTCTGGTTTTTGCTTTTATTTTCTCTTTCAATGTCTGGTATAGCTGCTCTTAGTAATCAAGTCATTTGGCTGCTTTAGGTTTGAAAATGAATTTTGGGGAAAATTCTGGGTGCTGCTTACTGTATCAAATATTTTATCCAAAGAGGACATGGACTTGGTAATACTAATCAAAAACAATGCTGATGGATACTGTGCCTATTGAAAAGGATGGAAAATATATTAGATGGTCTTTTGAAAGTATACCTAAGGAGTCTCTTTTTTGAAGTACAACTTTGCTGTTTTTAAAAAATGTTCTTGTTTAAGTTCAGTGTACAGAAACAGACACTGTTTGTCAAAAAGTTGGTCTGTTTCTTATTTAGTTCATGCAGACCATGCTTATTCCTTGAATTCCTTTTCAGGGAGAGGCAGGGAGAAGGATGGAATTTGAGCCTACACATCCTTTCTTTACATTTGATCATTGTGGCTTTTTCCTTATATTTGGTATTTTTTCTTTTGCCTTACGGATTTATAGTCTTCTGACAATGCCTAAAATAAATGCAAGAAAAGCTTCACTGAAGATTCACATAAGAAAGATGGAAGGACTTTCTCAAGAGTAGCTTTTAAAGTTTTTTAAATAACAAGTGAAGCAAAATTGGATTTGTTTGGTTTTATTAGTCCTTACTGGCTTTCTTCTATTAGTCCTGAAATACTTGAGCTGATAATAGGCAAGAAAGTAGTATGGCCAGAGAAAAATGGAGAAATAGGTTTATAATACTAGGGCTAAAGGAGAGGATATGAGTTTTATGAAGGAAAATTAATTGCCTAAGCACAAAGTAAGGTGTTCTAAGAAGCTGGCTGGTTGTTTTTCTTGAAGCATATCTGTTTGGTGGTATTTGGATGATTTGGGAAGAATTGGTTTTGCCTGTATCACTCTTGTGTTCTCATTCATCTTTGTTTTACAGTCCTTTAAGTGGAAGAACTGCTCTTAAAACATCAGAGGACTTGTCTTGTCTTGCACTGTTCGTAACCTTTTGACAGCATATTCCTGTAAATAGGTTCCATTCCAGTGCTACATTAAATCCAGTAATGGAAGGCTGACAAATGCCATGTCCCTTCTGTATTTGGAGACAAAGGAAGCTAATTCCTAGCTGCTGCTTGAGTGAAACCTGTTTTCCAGTTGTGTGTGAGACTGTCTTGTCTGAAATTCTCTTGCTGTTGCAAATTGGTGCAGCAGTGACAGCTTTGTACTGCAAAAACTTCCCATAACCAGTGTGTAATAAATATACTAGTTCTGCTGGGGATTAGCTTTTGTGCTAAAAGAAATAGGTAGGAATTTTCTGATTTACTGTTGACTCAAAGTGATCAGCTGTAGTTACAGCACTCCAAAAGTAGGTTTACCTGGCTATGTTAAAAGTGACTCCAACTTCTGTTCCTTACAGGCTCTATATATGAACTTTTATCTGCATGAAGCATAAGTGATTCCCTTACTATTTGCTTTTACTTACTTGTAATCATATGAAATACATGTAAGTTTATTCATAAGTGTTTATTTGGACATTGGGGTCCTTAGGTAGCCTGCTTACACCTGGATGATGCATCTGGGTATAACTTAAGTAGCTTGAGAAAAAGGAAGTTCTCTTTTTTTGAACTTCATGAGAATATCCTGCACTACAGGAAAAAAATTAGAAATACATGCTGCAAAGGTAAGCTGATATAAAAACCCAAAGATGTCTAAATAAAGAATACTGGAAAGGTTATTAGAACACTTCAAATAGTATGTGAAATTTGAAGCTTCTTGTCTCCTAATTAGCAGGTATAGAATGAAACGCTGAAATGCAGTCTCTGCAGATATTTTTATCTTGCTAGTCCTTGGGATCCTGCATGCTAAGTAGTGCCACTGGTTGCCTATTTATAGCCCCAGTGATGGTTTATGGGATTATTTGGGTATGAGTATTCGTCACTGGTAGTGGATAAGCTAAGTTTGTAACTCTTCCCCTGAGCACGTTTGCCAGAGAGAGATTAGCCTTAGCTGGAGACAGCCTCCAAATCACAGTAGCTGCTCAAATTGCTTTAAAATGGAATTAAAGCTGAAATTAGCAATGTGAAGCCAACACAGATATTCAGTGCACTGCTGGATCCCAGTGGCTTCCTTTCCTTAAACAGTGAGCATATGGGATGGGAAGGCTGCTGTTACCACCAGTCTCCATCGTTCCTCGACCACTATTTTTGTGGGTTTGGGTTGTGTGAGGAGATTCATGGGATCTTAGAAAGATTAAGGGGCCTTTGGGTGAAGAGTGAGGGATAAATATCTTTGAACAGGCTGTTGTCCCCAGAGTTATTAAGCCGTCTGTGCGTGGTAAGCCTGGAAAAAGAGGATGGCAAGGCAGACTTGGTGACAACAGACCATTTTCTGGCCCGAGCCTAAGAGTACATCAGGAAGCATGTTCAAGGGTAGTGTTTTTGGCAGTTCTGTAAGCTGTTTTGTATGCAGAGTAGGTGTAGTTCTTCAGGCATATTCCTGGGGGAGTAAATAAAAGATTTGAGCTAACTGTTACACATGCTGTGGCTGTGCAGTAGGTATGGTGATTGTTGGGGCTTTGACTTTCAGTCCTTGAGCCCTTTCAGTCCTCCTGACCTGCAGACTTTTTCCCCCTTCAAGTAAATAAAGTGATGCTGCTGAAAAGTGACTGTTTCCCCTGTCCCAGGGCAGTTTTGAGTTTTGGTTTACTTGTGAATAGTTCACAGTTGGTCCTGAGTACAAAGTGAGCATGTGTTGCATTGTGAAAGCATTTTTGAAAGCTTTACAGATTTGAAAATTGATGCATCATATATGCTATGAATATTTTTTTTCCATAACTGGAGCCTTCTGTTCTTCACATAAGAAATTGAATTTCTGCAAACAATTTCCAGGTGCCATAGAAGGCTCAAACGTAACCAGAAACACCTGCTTCAGGCTGTACCCTGTGGGATTCAGTTTATGAAGCCAGTGTTCTTTTGCAGGAAAAAAAGCCCCTCTGGTTCCTGGTGGAGTGTACTGGTTTTTAATTGGAAATAGTCTGTTTCAGTCTCTTAAGTCCATGACATTAGATGATCAGAGTTGGGGGAGGAATAGAACTGCATAATGTTACTCTGATGTCCTGATGACTTCATCATGCCTAGTGCAAGGATGATGACTAGGCTCCCATAGTAAATGAAATTAAGAGTTTTCTTACAGTACTTATTTCCAAGGTTGGTTTTAAAACAGTAGTTCTGTGTAAATGTGAATGAAATGTAGTAATTACCTGATTATAATTTGAATATTAGCCGAGGTGGTTCTAGCTTCTTACACATTCAGAATTGGTTGACATTCTGCACTTCCTGCTTCTGCTATAGTTTAGAAGATGTTTGTTGTTAGATTCTCATTTTTTCCAGTTTGATTGATTAATGAGAATTGAGCTGATGTTCTGTTTTGAAGATAAGAATTTATAGTGACATAAAATTCTAATGGAAATTTCTTCCAGTCTTTCTCATTAGAGTTCCACTTTGGGCCCAATGACTACTTTTCTAATTCTGTCCTGACAAAAACATACAAGATGAAGTCGGAGCCAGACAAGACAGATCCCTTTTCATTTGAAGGACCTGAAATAGTTGATTGTGAGGGGTAAGAAAAACTGAAATTCAAAGAAGCTTCTGAAGTAATAGTCCTTATTTTCCAGAATGTGTTTTCTCTTACTGTGATAGTAATTAATGAAGATAAAATTATTACTGACTTAAAAACTGGGAATGTTTGTAGGGGTGATGGTGATGTTAACCTCAGCATGCAGAAGTAACGTGGATATGTTTTAGCACAGTGTACACTATAAATCCTGCACCTTTCAGATGTCTGAGTTTACTCATTGCTGGATAACTGAGTACATGAACTTTAGTCATTACATTTCACAGGCAGCTTCCCCTCATGCTCAGTCTGCTAAGTAGCCTTAGACTCTCTTGGATTCTTGTCATGTCCTCAGCAAATTGCAGGAATTGGTACATTATATTATCTGGCAGGAATTGGTCATATGTATGATCTGCTCTTTCAGCCTGTTCTGAGGCTGGAACATACTGGCCATGCAGTTTGGTTCTTGCAGTTGTGGCTGATTGGCTAATGCAGCAAATTTTGGTTTGTTTTGGGGCTTTTTTTTTGTTAAAATGTGTTCAGAAACCAACAGTGGAATAGTGAATTCTCATCTCTGTTCTGGAAGTCTGAGTTGGATACTACGTTAGAGGTGGGGGGTTTTTTTTGGGTAAAAGATCATTTTTTCTAACCCTTTCATTTCCCATCTCTGCTCTGTAACTGAATTTCAGTGCCACACCAGAACAGAGCTGACACAACAAGGTTTATTTGTACCTTATTTTTCTTAGTTTCTTTGGTCATTTTTTTTTTTTGGTGGTGGTGTTTTTTGGGGGATTTGTTGTGGTTTTTACCCCTTCAAGGATGTGTTCTGATGTTGGTATTTTTTGAATTAACATTTAAGAAATGCCACAGACTTGGGTTTTTAAGGCATCCTGACAGCCTCAAAACCTTTTGACTTTTAGTGCTACATGTTGGCTTTTGAATTGAGCATTCACCTGCAGTGACACAAATAGTCTATTTGTGTGTGTAGTGGAAGCTGTGCCTAAGTAACAGCCTAGTCCATGCTGAAGATGTCCAACACAGTCTCTGGCCCAGTCATGCATCCACTTCACATCTTGTCAAGTAGGTTCAGTTAGCCTTGTGTGTAAGGCTGGCTTTATCTAAAGAGTGATAAGCAATCTTTGCCTTGGTGTTGTTGCTCTGATGCTCAGTGCCTTATTTTCACTGATGTCTTGTGTTAAAATCTGTTTCCCATGTGTTGTCTCTAGGTGTACTATTGACTGGAAGAAAGGAAAAAATGTTACAGTCAAAACAATCAAGAAAAAACAGAAACACAAGGGTCGAGGCACAGTTCGGACAATTACCAAACAAGTACCTAACGATTCTTTTTTTAACTTCTTCAGCCCAATAAAGGGTAAGCTTGGAAATTAAGAATTTAGGGTTCCTAAAATATTCGTGTTTTATTTGTATGTAGTTGTATTTATGCAGCTTAAACCTTCAAACTATTTATACTGCTGCATTATACTGTCTTCTTACTAGAGTAAGATTGCAAACTGCAGCCCATCTGAACAGGTCATTTTTTCCTGATGGTATTCCTCAGAATTTGGCCATTAGGTGTGCACTGTAAACAGGATTTATAATATGGAAGGAGTCTCACGTAGAATCTCCTAAAGAAGTTGTCATGTTTTACCACAGGATGGCTCCATGCAGCAATTTTAGGTTTCTAACGTGGAGAAGAAACCTCTTCCATTGTTGGTCAAGTTACAGCATATCTGTTTCATTTAAACTTTTGTGTTCAGTGACAGAACTTCTGTAGTTTCTTCTGTGATTAATTAGTGATCCCTATTGCTCCATACAGTTTGTAGTTTTCCTAGTTGTCTAATGTTAGCTCTGTACTAGTGTATTTAAAACAATTCAGATTCCAAACCCACTTTTTTTTGCTTGGTACATATCTCACTCTTTTGCAGATGTGGATGGAGGAAGTAGTTTAATTTGTGGACTAAAGGGGTCCTACAAGAAAGTCCCTCATCATCTTTTTGAAAGGACTTGTAGTGACAGGACACAAGGAAGAATGGCTTTAGACTGAAAAAGGACAGGCTTAGATTAGATATTTGGAGGAAATTCTTGACTGTGTGGCTCGTGAGACTCTGGAACAGGTTACCCAGGAAAGTTGTGGATGCCCCATCCTTGAAACTGTTCAAGGCCACACTATATGGTGTTTTCAGCAACCTGGTGTAGGGGAAGGTGTCCCTGCCCATGGCAGAAGGGTTGAAACGAAAGGTTCTTCAAGGTGCCTTCCAACACAAACATTCTGTGATTCCAGAGATGTCCAAAATGAATATTGGTTCTTGCTTCAGTTATGGGCTGTTATGAACTACCTGTCCCGCTGCACATCTCTGTATACATGGGGATAAGAAACAAGTGATACATATTTCAAAAGTCAGGGTTTGTTTGGTACAGAAATGTCCTTTAACTTAAACAACTTTAATTTTTGTTGGTGCTTTCAGAACGGGATGGAGATTTGTTTGTCTCGTGTTGGTGGTATATTGTTTCTTTAAATACTTACAGCACATGCTCTGGAGGTAGCTGTATAGGAAAGGTGAGACTATGACATCTGCTGGCAGCTGATAACTTGTATTTCCAGCTTGAGAACACACTGAGACAAATGATCACTTTAACAGTGGGATCGCAGTGCTGTGACACCTGAGTAGAGAAGAGAAATCTGTTTTGGTTTGTGTTGGGTTTCTTGTTTTGTTTTGACCTTACTGTCACAGTGCTGGACCTCTTCTCAACAATGGTCTGCAAATTCACAACAAAATGTTCATCTGCTTGGTACCATCTGTGTTTGGGGAGAGGAGAGGGTTTGTAGTGCTCTAGCAAAATAAAATTACTGTAATTACAGCATTAGTATAGAAACAAGATGTGTTCATCTGTGAGGGAGAGATGTGATCTGCATGCCTTTTCAACCCATCTTTGTAGCAAGCTATTTCCTGTGCAAAAATATTGGACATCCAAATGGCAGCTTTGATGCTGTTATTGCAACGCACAAAATTCTTAACAGTACAATTTCTGTAGGTTTAACTTAATAGGAATCTGAATTGTCATTAAAGGTTTAATAGTTGCCTTCCGTAGCCTTTATATCCCCAGTGTTTTCTGTATGAGAAGGTCTTTATACTGGGTTTGATCATTGTAAGTATTGAGGTGGACTAGACTAGACAAGATTTTCTTACATTTGCTGTCTTTTCTTTTTGCAGTATCTGGTGATGGAGAGTCACTGGTAAGTTTGTGTTGCTGCAATGGCACAACTGTTCTTTGCCACATCCTTTTTTCACTCTGTAGTGACTGCTAGGCTTCTTTTAGTAAGTGCTGCGTATTTTTATCGTTACTTTTGATTTTGACAAAGCAGAGCTTCATCTTGATAAAATGAAAGATGCTGTTAACTTCTCCAGGTAATCCATTGACAGTTTGCTGTTACATGTCTCACTGATCCAAGGCATCTCTAACAGTTGCTCTTGGGAAGAGGTCATTGTATGAGCTTTTTAATAGAAGGTGCACAGCAGGGCCAGTAGTATGTACAGGGTGAGAAGGAAACTTGTACAATAACTCTCAATTTTGCAAATCTAGATTTAGTCTTGCAGTGTTTTCTTCCTACCAAGTTAAGTATACTCCAAGTACATGTGACCTGAAGGCTGATGATGGCACTGTGATGTTTTCTCGAACCTGTAACTTAGAAATGGTTTTGTATGCTTCTGTGTAGCATATCACATTTTTAGCAGAAAAAAATCAAACTGACTTTGCCTTACAGGATGAAGATTCAGAATTGACTTTAGCAGCAGATTTTGAAATTGGACACTTCTTCCGTGAAAGGATAGTTCCTCGTGCCGTGCTGTACTTCACTGGGGAAGCTATAGAGGATGATGATAACGTATGTATGCTATCAGCAGTTTGTTTATTATTCACCATGTGGATAGAAGCATTCTCCTCCTTTTCTGATTACACTAGTATGATGTATTAATTACATGAGAATAACAAAAAAACCCTGAAGAGATTCCTATTGCTTGGGGATAGGAAAGAGTCATTCAACTTGCTGTAAGTTATTGATCTGCTGGAAGGGGCTTGGATTCAGTTTACTGTGTTGGAATATGCTGGACCTATCACTGCAGAAATTTTTATGCACATATTAACAGAGCTAATGAAACCTTGGGTTTGTTTTTCAGTTTGAAGAAGATGAAGAAGGTGAAGAGGAGGTGAGATGCACACTGTATCTTTTATAGATAACTGACCACCTACTGCGTCCAGTACCAGAAATAGTTCTATGTGTAGCAGAAAATAGTTGTTCACAAATGCTGTTGTGCATGAAACACCTTTCCAAAAGAGCTCAGCATCAAAATCTGTGGCTGTTTTTTCCTCTTTGTAAAAGTGCTTTCTGCAAGAACATTTATCTAGGTTTTTTTTCCGTACTGTTTTGAAAGCTGCTTTCTGACCTGAGTCAAAAATTAAAGACAGGCTTGTTTCTTGAGTGCTGCGTGACAAGAATCCTCAATCTCATTTTAAAATACCTGTTACTTAAGCGGGAGTGGAATTCAGCTGTTAGCTTTTATTTGGCATAAGCTTGAAGACTGGGTCTTACTAAATGTAAAGTAAAATAGGGGGAGTGTGCTCAGGACAAAGCCTTTAATTTAGGCTGGAATTTCTAGTGCACTAAGAGCTCTGGTCCATTTGCAGTAGTGTTGTATGAATACAAATGTAACTGTGAAAGGCTTTGCACAAACCCACTAAGTATCACCACACTTAAATGAACTAATATCCTTTACAGAGACTTACATTTTTATTTTGCTGCTTTTGCTGTGGTGTTCGTGCCAGTTTGTACACACCTGACTTTCATCAAGTTCACCATAGAGTACAGCAGCAGTTGCCAGGCTGGTGGTCTGATGTGAACTGGCAGCCTTCAGCACACAGTCTCTGCTTTTCTCTTTGTTGCAGTACAGATTTCTGGGTTTAGGCTGTTGAGTGAATAAATACTTTCTTATTTTTTATTTTTTTTTTTAACCTGGGTATTGGCAGAAATGGAGATGTATTTTCAGTCTGTCTCCACTGCCAGATGTTACTATTTGGATGTAGATGTGTATAGAACAGAGTGCAAAAATGCTGCAAAATCCTGTGCAGGAATATGTAGCCTGTCCACAGTAATCCAAGTAAACTCTGTTTTTAGTATCACTCCAAAATTAAATATATCTACTTACTAGCAGAATTGTAAAATTCCAAGTATGTCAGGTAGAAGTAAATTGCTGGGAAACTGCAGCAGCTTCTATAGGAAGGTTGCCTTGAGCCATGATGGAGCTTCTAAATCTGCATTTTAAGTCATGATTTAAAGATTTTGTTTTAAGATTTTGAAGATGCTGAATTCTTTTAAGTCAACCCAATGTTGACATCTGAAACACTCTGGAATAGTGATAATATAATTTGCTATTTTGCTTTTTGTCCATTGCAAAAAGTTGCACTTTTAACCTGTTTTAATTTCTGTTAGTTTATCTCTATTTTGTCATAGGAGTTGGAGGGGGAAGAGGAGGGAGAAGAAGAGGAAGATGCAGAGAGTGATCCTAAGGTAAGGATTTTTGGGTGCTTAGTCATAACACAGGCTATAATCACAGGCAGTGTAACTGAGGTTGTAATAGTTTGTGAAAAGATTAATAAATTATTCAAAAAACCTAAATCTACCCTAGCTTCTGACTGCAGTGTTTTCATCTCCTTCAGCACTCAAATTGCTCTTAACAGAAACATGAATGTTTCCATCAGTTGAGAAAATGCAGATTTTACTTCCAACCTGCACCAAGGAAAAGCTAATTTCCAAACTCTGTGCCTTTCCTTCTTAATGGTATCTCTGTGATGCTGATGTATATTTTTCCTTTAGAAAGGTCATGTTCAAATATTCTTTGGCTGGACTTCAACTCGGAATTAGTCTGATAAATCTCAACTAGCTTGTTTACTTATTTTCTTTTTCTCAGAATTGTTCTTTATCATTGTCCTGGTGGCTGCAGGTTAGACTCCACATGTCTGTACTGGGTTAGAAATCAAAAGATGTTAGTCCTCAACTTTGAATTTGAAGCTTTTTGATACCTGGTTTAAAATTCAGCCTTGAGGGTTAGTGCTCCTTCTGATAGGTATTTTTCAGTCCTTCAGTCATGGTAAAGTTAATGCTTCTATTTAGGGAAGCTGGGACAGTGATGACAGACTTGTGTTCGTTTAGTTCTAAAAACATCAGCTGTTAATTTTGATAAAGACAGATGAAAAAGTGAAAGGTATGCAAAACTGCTTGATCTTTGGATGAAAGTCTTAACAGTAGCTTAACATGTCACTCTTCTGGCACAGTTTTATATACCTCATCGTATCACTAGTAAATGCTTTTTTGTCACTGTATCAAGAATCAAGCTTGTTTTTCTTGAATGAGAAATACTGTATACTAAAGAAAGTCTGTCTTGTGCAAAGATCAGTCAGACAGGGTTGGAGTGGCAGAAATGAGTATCCTGACTGCTCTGTAGGATGCACTGGTGTACCTGTAACTGGAAAAAGTTGGACAGCTGAGGAACAATGTTAGTTCTACGTCAGCCTGTATTTGTGTGAAGTATCAAATATCCTTTCAAAGGATTTGGTATTCTGTAGGGGAAAAGAAGCTTAAGTTAACTTGGCAGGTTATGGTTGTTGCCTCCTGTATTATTTTGTACATTTCACTTTTCATCCATGCTGACAGTTCCTTTCAATTTTTTTCCATTTAGGTGTAATATAAGTCTGTTTATCATTCATACATTTCTAGGTAAGGTGGAATTCCATTCATACCTAACTTCCAAGAGTCCCATTTGTAGTCATGCAATGTGGTTTGCTTTCTAGGGTTTTCTGTTCTGTTTTTTAATTATTTTTTTCTTTGTTTGGGGAAAAGAAATGGGGGAATGGTGACTTCAGAGCTCAGTTTTTGTTAGTAAAAAATAGAAGGAAATGTGTATGGAGATGAATGCCTTTAAAATCACATAATTTAGATTTTTCAGAATGACTCTTTGCCTTTCTGGCACAACTTCTGCTTTGCCTTGGTAGCAACCTAACTATATTACATACACACTGTGAAAGATACTGACACTTGACAGACTTTAGCTTCTCCTTTTTTCTAGTTTGGTGTTGCATCTCTTTACTGTTTCTAGTGTACTTGCAAATTACTTCTTAAATATCTTCTCTGCTCTTAAACTCTTGTAAGTCATCAGCTCACTTGGTGTGTCTTTTCCAACATCTTGTTTATGCTGCTTGACAAAGGCAGTCAGTCACTCTTAGAAGCCTTTTCTTGATCTCTCATGATTCTGCACAGGTATTGCTCTTCTGCTCATCTCTCTCTATTTAAAAGAAGAAAGAAAGTTCCTTCTATCATATACTGTCATCTTTCGCCTTTCATCCCATTCCTCATAGAGAACAATGCCTGCAGCAGCCTCCATACTTTTCTCCCCCTGTATTTTAGGCTTGTGTCTTTTATTTTGGTTATTTAGGAGAAGCTATAATCTATTCAGCTCATTCCCTCTGCATAGATAATGCCTTTCTTTGCCTTTTGTTAAGCTCAGAATTGAGCTGTGCCTTTGTGTTGGGTTTTGGTGGTTTTTTTCCCCGATTGGATATGTGAGGTAGCAGCCACCCTGCCTTGGCATACTTGCAGTGTTTGTTCACCTGCACAGTAGAACATCCATTTGTCACAACAGCTTGTATGTTGTCCTGCTGCAGTCTGTTACACAGCTGTCTTCCCTCCTTACAATTAAAACTTGTCAGGCACTGGCTTTAGTTTTTCAACTTGGAGTCCTTGTTTTTGTCTTTTAGCACTCAGTCCTGATCCTGTTTTCCATTCTTTCTTCTGTTCATCCCATTTTCTGGTCCTGTTTCTCCTTGTCCCCTGCCTCTCTTTGCCTTTCAGCTCTCACCCCCTGCTTTTCTTATATCTAGAACAGTTTCCATGTACACAAAAAATAATTGGTCTGTTTTCCTTTCAAGACCAATTTTTTCAGTCATTTCCATGTTGCTTCCTTTATTATTGTACTATATTTTATACATGTGAACACTTTGCTTTACCTTTTCCTTCTTCCTTCCTCTCACTCCTGTCAGTTTTAAGTACATTTGAGCTGTTCAGTTCCAACCAGATGATTATCATCTCTTACACAAAGCACTCGTGCTGTATGTAAGTTGTGGCTTTGGAAGGCTGAGCAGTCAGATGACTGGAAGTAGTTTCAGAAGATGCTACAAGACAAGGATGAATGTAGCTTGTTTTGTGTAGTTATTTTCCTGTGTGCTTGCATGCCTCATTCCTTTAGCTGCCTTTGTTTCACATCACTGAGGCTGTGCTTCAATTGAGAAGCACCTGACAGGGTGATAGAGAGTGCTGGTTTGAATCATGAGAGAAAAAGCTGCTGTGTGAGAGACTGAAGGTGCTTCGAGGTGCTTTGTCTGTCTCAAGCTACAGTGGCAGAAGGGCCTGTTAGCACAAAGATCATTTTCAGAACTAGTTGTGAAGGGAGACAGTTTGGACCACTTGCTTACCTAACTCCAGTCAACTCTGGCTTTGCTTCCTGTGTATGTTTGATATCCATGTAGGATAGAAGATGAACAAAGAGAAGGTTCAGCTTTAGGACCCCTAACTGGACTATTTCATTGTAAGATATTTGGTGTACTGAAAAGCTTTCTGCTTTGTCTGCTGGAGAAAATGTCAGCTGTAGTGCCCACTGCTGGTGTTGATCCTGCTGTTGGCAGCAGAGTTGTTTGGGAGTTCGATCAGATCTTGATGAGCTGCCTGTGCCTGCGTGGCTACTTTAGCAGATGGGAAACTTCTGAGAAAGTGATTTGGGAGAGTGAGGAGATAACGACTTGACTGCTCTTTGAGTCACCCAGGAATGTATCCTGCCTAATATATTTAAGCATTGAAGACTGATAGCAATTCAGTGTTGCCTTCAGCAGTAGCTTCGTGTGAAAAAGAAGCTGTTTTGAAAGCATGAAATTGCTAAAATAAATGGCATGGATACTTGGAGCTTCCCTATGCTCTTGGACACCAGATTAACCATCTGGGTAGATGCCATGGGCTTTGTGTAGGAAAGTCATGAAAGCAGTGTCACCTCAGACCTGCTTTTCTTCTCCTCCTGGTTTTGCAAATTGTAGGTGAAATTTTTAATTCCAAGCAAGCGATGCGATAAATTAGAGGCAGTGGCAAAAAGTTTTATATTGATCTTTGTTAGCTAAAGAATAAAAATAGGTGAGAGTCTCACTGACTCAGCTTGTTCATCTCCATTGGAACAGCATCTCAGCCTGGAATCAAAGGCCCAGAGTAGTTGAAACTCCTTGCACAGCATAAGTAAACATTATGAAATACTTTTAAGGTGTAAAAATGAAGCCCTACCGGTTTTGAAACAGATTTAAGTCTTTGCCCATGGTTATTGTAGAGAATATCTTTACAACAAGAATTCTTGTCTCTGTAGTGATCTTCAGTACATGTGTTTACTGCTAAATTAAAGTGAGATGCAAGTCCTCCTTATCTTTACCATTTAAAGTCTCTCTGGCCTTTATTGCTTGGACAAGGTACTTTGTCACCTTTCTGAGATATCTTGAGAGGTTAATTTAGGGAAATACAGCATGATCGGAAATCTTGAGGCAATAAATGGCACAGGGTCAGTCTAAGGCAAATCAGTGGATTGGTAGTGGTTGGCTGACCAAATGTCACCAACAGTCTGGGCACTGCAGGAAGAGCAGGCTCAAGCACACCAGCCTTGCCTGAGTGTGAATGTAGTGTCTCCCATCACACTGGCAGCCTGGGCTCTGGTCCCTGATTTACAGGAGGCTTTAGAGGCCAGAGAGAAGTTTCAACATGTGTGTGCCTGATGGAGCTGCTCTGACTTGAAGGGAGTTGTTGTCCTCTCAGGGTTAGCCTGTGAGATGCCTTCCATGAGGCTGAATTGGAGCTGGTGTGGAGCTCATGCTATCCTCAGCAAGAGCAGTGCTGTGCTCCTGAAACAGCAGGAGAGAAGGGCTCATGTTGGAATCTGGATCTGAGATACTGCCTTGTTATTTATGGCCTGCTTAAAACACTTTGGATATATGGTCAAGATAGATCTGCCCTCAACTGTAAGCTAAAAATGGCATAAACTAGAAGTAACTGTCTCAAAATCTCCAAAATCTGATTCGGATCCGGGAGCCCCTCAAACTATTTATTTTTGTCTGGGAGCAGTATTCAACCCTGAAAGGTCCTTAAGAAGGAACTTTGACTCAGTCTCCGTGACTCAGTTTTTACAGGATAAAGAATTATATGCCATAATATGATTTAAATGTTTACAGAAATAAAGAAAAGATAGTGAAGTTTATTAGAAAATATAACAAGTGTTTTGGTTGATCATTAAAATTCGGCTGAAACAGTTGCAGTGATCAACCTAAGTGTCATGATACAGCAAGTGACTAGGAAGGAAGAAGGGACATGGAAATACTAAGTACATTTTAAGTTTGTTACTTTATCATCGTGACTCTTACCCAGAGTGCAAGGGAGAGGGAAGTGATGCTGTGCACTACTCTGTGGCCATGGTCGAATACAAAGCAGTTACAAGAAAAATAGGAAGCTTTAAGAAGCTTTTGGTATGAAGGTTGCTGTTTTTTGCCTGCCTCTAAATAAAAAGGAATAGCATGCAATATAGTACCAGTAGCAGTTAGAGTTTCTTTGTTTTCAGGAGTTAGAATGCTGATTTTGTGTACTATGTAAACATCTCCCTCTTTTCATGTAGTTAGTCCCAGATCAGTGAAAATTAATTCACAGCAGTGTTACTTGAAACCCCAGGCAGATGAGAGAGAGCAAAGTTAAAGCTAGCCAGGAGTGCTGGGTGAGGAAAACCACAAGGAAGAGGTCTCAAAGGTCTCTGACATACCTCTGCGTAAGAGAGAGCATTTGGCTGTAATCCAGCCTTGTAGTGGGAAGGATTGTGGCCATTCTAACCCTAAAGCAGTTCAGGTGAGGGAGAGAAAAATAGCCTGAATTTAATGCAGATTATCAAGGGCAAAACTTAATGATAAGGAAGTTTGAATTAGTTGCACCTATTCTTCCTCACTAAAGGCAAAATGCTTAAGTTGTCTTAGCTCTTGGCTACTTCATGCATAATGAACACTTGCATGATTATGTCTTTATAACACACAGAACTCTTGTCTAGTTACTAAGAAACATTTTATTTTGTGCTCAGTGACATTCAGGGTGTCATGTTTTATACCTGTATTTTCCTGTGCTAGAATTCAGCAGGTTTCTGTGACTGCTATTTGTTTATAATAACCTACACTAAGAATGTTAAAGGGAGAAGCAAATGGAAGTTGACAGGATAAAATCTCCTGCTTTCTAAGAATCCTGATTTACAACAAAGAAGGCAAGAAGTACAATGTAAACCTGAAGTTCTTAGCTGTTTGAGTGCTTGTTCTCATTCCCAAATACACTTCCTTTTGCCAAGGGGGAAGTTGTTTTACTACCTAATAAAGTTGTTTCTACTTTTACATATTCAGATTAACATATGGACTTCTTGCCCAGTGTTAAATTGTTGAATAGTTACCTGCTGGTGATGCAGAACCTAGAAGAAGTCAGCACATTAATTACATTTTTATCACCTTAGCAGAAAGGGCAAGGCATCTAAGGAAAAGCTCAAACGTGCTGCAGAATAAGCAGACTCCCTTCCCTCCTCAGACTTGGAGGAGGTGACACTTTATTGTTGAAACTGTTTAATAGGAACTGAAAGTCAGATAGAGCCTCTGTTGCAGGGAGTAGCAGGTGGTTTGCTTTCCTGTTTGATTGAACTTGGCCTGAAGGATGGAGTGGAGTGTTAAGAACACAAAAATGGGTTAAAAATTCTGGGGTGCTAAGCAGGTGGGAGCAGGGGGAATCCCAGTAAATACTGGGACTGCTGTTGGACCTTTATGATGTGGCTTGGGTTTGCATGTAGCGTTCTTGTACATGCTGCTGATAGCTAGTTAATTTCAAACTGCGTAGCCAATTTGTTGTAGTGTTTTCTTGTGTACCATTTTGATGTTTGACTGTTCTGTTTTCTCTTTGTCCTTTTATGCAGAAAGATTCCAGCCAGCCTGCTGAATGCAAACAACAGTAATAAGGAAATACCACTTGGAAGTGATATTTGAACAACTTGTAACAAATAGGTTGGATTACCTGGCCTGCAGTTCAGGATATTCCATCGCTGCAGCACAATCTTATTAACAATGCTTAAAATTAATTTGTTTTAAAATGCATGATTTTCACTAACTTTATTGCTTAACATGTACAGTGGCAACTTCAATGCATTTGGGAAATATGAGGTTTAAATAAAGCACACTCTACAGCCGTTGGTACACTGTAGCTAAGTATGTCAGTAGGCCTCTAGAGCCTTTTGCCCTATGCATAGGGGAATAGTCCAGACTACCACGTGAGGATTATCCATTTCCTTGTTAACCATTGAAAACCATGGAATAGCAACGTGCTGAGAAGCTAAAGTAAATGGATTACATGTATGGTAGCTGAAACAGATAGAGCAATATGACTTTTTTGCTAGTTCCCTCCCCCCTTTTCTAATGTTTCTTGCAACCTACAGATTGAACTAGTGCTTGAGCAGCTTTAAATGTCATATTTATTATCTCAGTACAACCAATTGAGTTGAAGTAATTTTACTTCATTGAAGAGGGTGTCATATTTGAGACTTAGTTGTTCATCTTACTATTTATTTATTCTTGTATGTAAGTACTTTGACAGAATTAGTGTTTTTGATAGTTTTTAATATACTTGAAAAATCTTCCTCTTTTGCATACACTATTATGGGTACTTGGAAAACAAATGATTCAAATCAGTCTCAATATAGTAGTCTAGGCAGAAGAAACAAACTTGCATCAAAATGACAACTCTTCTGGATGAAGATCAAAATGCAAAGACCAAACTGTTGCTGTTGATGGAAGTGGGTTGCAGCCAAAGAATCAGGAAATTTCCAGTAGTCTTATTTCTTAGTGTCCAGCATGAAAGGACCTTTCACTGCGAACACGGAAATTTATCAAAATGAGTCAGTTCAATAAATCTGAAGTGTTGGTGTCTTACTTGCAACACTGAAATTATTCCATTCCACAATTTGTTTTATTTCAAAGTTCTGAAGTCTTCAAAACTACCTTTCATTGTTGTGTGGCACTTCAGGTACACGTTTCTAGTTTCAGCATCCATTGCCAACCTCTGGCAGCAGTTGAATAGCAGCTGTATCAACACTGTGACCAGGCATGTAGAGTGCTCCAGCCTTACCTTACACATTTGTAACTTAATACAGTGTTTTCAATTTGTACAGAATAGATAGAATATTCTATTAAAGTTGTGAAACATGACTGTTGGTGCCTGTCTGGTCCCTAATGCTTCCTAAGTTAAGTGAACATCCCTTTGGCTGGGGTGGTGTTTACCATGGCACATGCCAACTGTTAGGCTGTAACATCCTCCTTTGTTGTCCAAAGCCAAAGAACAGGAGCCTTTGTAAATATTGCATTACAGAGTTCTTTGATGTAAATCAGAAGAAACTTGCTCAATTTGCAAGTAAATAGTCTGCAGTCTTTTGTAGGATTTGGGGTTTTTAGGGAGGCAGTGTCATTATGAGATTCCACGTGATCCATGCAGTCATGGACTGAATGAGGTGCTGGGGGCCAAACTGGTTTATGTCATGGTGAGATATTCCCACATCAATACCTTGCAGTCAGAAAATGTAACACTAGTGCTCAGGTGAGTTAAGCAGGAACAAGGGCAGGTTCTGAGCTTTATTTAAAAATAAACAGATTTTTTTAGCCTCCTACAACTGCAGTGCACTATGGCAGGCATGGAGAACAGCATAAAGCCATGTCTTACACGGGGGCATAATGCCTGGAGCTTGCACATGTGCAGACTGGCTCAGAGCAGTGCCAGGGATGCTGGGCATGTCAAATAGAGCTGTTTGACCAGGTTCAGTTCATATTGGAAGAAATGGAGTGATCGTTCCCCCATCCTTAAGAAGTACTTTCCACTACATGGTTAAACAGGAGTGCTGCTACCTGGAGATAAACATCTGCCAATTAACAAAGCAAAGTAATTTATGTGCATGAATCCTGAAAGGCTGACTTTAATTTTGGGAAAACGGGAAATTCCAGAACACGGAGAGCGAATGTGCCAGCATCAGGGAGCACAAACGGGATGGGTGGGTAATGAAGTTGCCCAGCGAGATGTGCATCCTCGGGAAAGTGATGGGAAAGCTGAGCTGGGATTTGTTAAAGCAGAGTTAATGCCAGTCAACACAGGCTAATAGAAAACAGATCTTGTCAAAACCCAGACATGCTCTTCCCATCGCAGATCTCACTGATAATGGCAAAGATGAGTGTTCCTTAGACTTCTCCGTTTTCAGTTGTTTATAGGCTTTGTCGACAGGAAAGGTAACTAACAGGTAGTTGTACAGCTCATTCCTTTTACAGAAAAGAGTAGGAAGAACCCATGAGTTGATTGACAGAATGTTACAGCTGGATAAATTCAGGCTGCTGAATGGTAAATACAGGGAGCGTGGGTGTGCAAAAAGCCAAGAGTGATTAATTGTTCACAGAGAAAACTTTGTAAAAGATTAGTATTGGTGTTTTTTGAAGTGTGGGCCTTGAGACAAATAAATGGGGTCCCTATGCAAAGCTAGTGGGAAGCTTTGAAAATGGTGAGGTGATACCAAATAGTGAGTCTATGTGCCTCCGTGCATGATTGCCACCAGAGCTCCCTGATAAAAAAAACCCTGAAGTTTAGTTTGTGGGGACACACTGTTGTGATGCAGCCTTCCTGCTGGTGGCTCCTCATTTGAGGGGGGAAAAACCTCCTTTTCTGGGTCTGAAAGTTGAAGCAGCTGGACGTCCTCCAAGGGAAATTCATTTGGCATCGCCTACTCGGGATGCAGCGTGATTAACAGCTTCTCAGTGCCTGGGTTGTCTAGGAAGAAAGCCTTGGAGGTACTGCTGCCCTATCTGATAGAAACAAATGGCAAATACTCTGCTTCCACCTGAAAAATGGGGGCAGTCTGTGGTTTCTCAGGAGTCTTGTACCTTCCTGGGAGTTTGGTATTTGGGATAACAGAGCTTTCGGTTCAGTTTCAGTATGTTAGTTATCTGGGGTTTGCTATCTGGTTAGGATTTGTGGTAGCTGGAAAAATTAAAATGGTCTCTGTGTTTCCACTCTCCTTATTAAACAAGCTTTTCCTGTTTTAAAAGAAAGGAGACTTGTAATAAATTCATCCTCAGTTAAATGCTGCCTTGACGGCAGTTTTTTTTCAGCAGGAAGCCAGCTCAGCACAGTGCAGTCCGGAGGAGCCCAGTGCTGCAGAGGAATGCGTAAAGAGAGGTCAGACTAGTTACAGCACGAGGAAATCACTCGCTCCTTTCGAGCTTGGCGATGCAGGAGGTGAGTTCAAGATGTAAGACATGCCCCAACTGCCTGACATTGCATTGAGGTAGCACATAACTTGCACCTGAAATTTGCACCTTCTGAAGCATCTTAGCTTGAGCCCTTTTGGAAGCAATTATAGCTCAGCCAGCAAACGGGAGAAACATCCTTTCTGCTTGAGCCTGTAAGAGCAAGTAGTGGATCATGCAGTTAGGTGGGAGACTTGCTTCTCTTGCTGCTGGAGCACATGTTATATGCCCCAAGGCCTTGCCATCACTAAACTTCACCTGGTCTTGTGGCTTTTTGCCTGCTGTGTGGCGCAATTTTATGTTGGGCTCCACAAATCATGTCTTGCTTAGCCTGTTGCAAATAGCCCTCTACTCCGCTCTTGCCCCTCTCCTTCACTCTGGTAAGACCCCATGTGGAGTGCTGCATCCAGCTCTGCAGTCCCCAGCACAGGAAGGGCACTGGCCTTTTGGAGTGAGTCCAGAGGAGGGCTATCAACTTGAGCACCTCTCCTATGAGGAAGGGCTAAGAGGATTGGCATTGTTCAACCTGGAAAAGAGAAGGCTCTGGGAAGACTTAATTGCAGCCTCCCAGGACCTGAAGGGAGAATACAAGGATGGAGAGGGACTATTTACAAGACCATGTAGTGACATGGCTTCAAACTGAAAGAGAGTAGGCTTAGATTAGATATTAGGAAGAAATTATTTCCTGTCAGGGTGGTGAGGCACTGGAACAGTTTGCCCAGAGAAGTTGTGGATGCCCCATGCCTAGCAGTGTTCAAGGCCAGGCTGGATGGAGCTCTGAGCAACCTGGTCTGGTGTAAAGGTGTCCCTGCCCAGGGCAGGGGAGTTGGAACTAGATGATGTTTAAGGTCCCATCCAATCCAGACCATTCTATGATCCCATGATAAATGGTGACATATAAAAAATCCAAAGTGCCGCATTCATGCTTCCTTATCCTCTGTCTTTTTCCACAGATAAATATCTTTATTATTTCCCATGTATTATTTCCCAAATAAAGTCCACAAGGAATTGATTTTGTGTCTATGTATCTGTTCAGGACTCCTCCCCCCAAGCTGAAGTCCTTGTGATTTTTACCCTTGTTGCCCATGTTTTTCACTACAATCAGAGTGCAAAGAGCTCTGTTACAGCAGCTGTGACCTGTGCATGGAAGAACCTTCACCCTCCCTTTCCCAAACAGTTCATAGTCATCACACTAATAGCAGGCAGAGCTATTTTTTTCCATATGCTCATATTGCTGTCCTAAATACCGCCAGCCTCTCACGGGCCAGGGCCATGAATCCCAAACAATAACTGTTGTAAGTCAGTCTGGTTTGACAAGCACCCAAAAAAAAAAAAAAAAAAGAAAAAAAAGGAAAAAAATTGAAAAGAAAAGCTCCAAGCCTGTGCGCTGTTAATGAGGCATCATGTGAATGAAGACTGAGCTGTTTGCCAAGTGCCAGCTTTTGTTTCCAGACCGGCTTTCCTCTCTGCTTGCTCACCTTGCCATTACACAAGCAAGAACGCATGCTCCACCCAGCAGCGCGCTCACCTCTTGCACAAGTTACCTTCCCCTCCAGTTTTTACCGTGGGAATTTGGACACCTTGTGGGGATGCCAAACCAGGTTAATACAACCCAGCGAGCGTGTGCTCCAATTGCCAGCGCAGCTCTGCGCAGCCTCCTGGCTTGGATGAGCCTTCCCAGTAACAGTCCCACACTGCAAAAATAATCCTGCCTAGCAAACTTTCCTTTCCCAAAGAAGTCACCACCAGCAATGCAGTAACCTCTTACTGACTTGTCCCTACCTTGCTGCTTGCCCCCAGCTTCCGCAAGTTAGGCATAACCCATACTAGACCTGGCCCAGGCTTAAGAAAAAGGGCCAAAGAGAAGGGAAACAGTAGAGAAAGGAATTTGTTCATTATTCAACATGACCCAAAGAGGGTAACAAAACAAATAATTAAAACAATAATTTGCCCCTGTTTGGGGCAGAGATCAAACAGCATAGGATGGTGCTCGAAAAGAAGGACCATTGGTCTATCACCAGTGCAAACTTTTGCACTGTGCAAATACTCCTTGTGACCTGTTAAACTGATCTTTTTGCCAAGTAAATTCACTTTGGTTGTTGAGTCCGTGTTCGTCCATCTCTTAGGGATAAAGAAGGAATTTGCTTCAGTGTACAGTGTCAATGGCTACTTGATCAACTGTGTCAAGGTCATGCTTAGGAGAGGGGTGAGATTTTTTCCCCGTTTTTGATACTGTTTTTTATTTTACCCAATTATCTGGTCTTCATTCTTCCTTTTCACACTCCTGACTTAAGGCACATTCCAAACTCTTTGATTTGCCTGAATAGAAAGAGCACGAGAGAAGGAGGGTTGAGTGAAAAATTAGTATTGGAGTCACTACCAAAGCAAACTCCTGAAGTTGGCGATGGGATATAACTTGTTAGGGGAGTTAAAGCACTTGCTATAAAGGTCATGTAGAGCTTCTGCACACAAGTGAATAGTTCAAGGCGTTTTGATGCAGAGAAAAAACAATTAAGATAGAGCTGCTGCTGACATTCCCCTAAGCTGTTTCATCTCTTACCGCTTCAAAAAAGCAGGGAAAAACAAATTATGTACTTTCAATCTGAGATTTATATAGGATGCATTGTTGCTTAGCCTATGAAAAGATCAAAAAGGAGATCTTTGAAGACAGATTGCCTACAAAGAACACTGGACTGTTATTATACACACAAAAAAAAGAGAGGTTAATAAGCACAGTTCAGGTCAAAACGTAGGCAAGTGCGTGTGTGCAATAAAGCGTTTGCAAGGGCTGCTTGCTCAGGCGTTTCAAAGCCGGTCAGGAAGAGGGTAAATCACTGAGCAGGCATCTGGAGCAGGAACACTGCAGCATTCCACGTGTGTTCAGCTCTACACTCGTAGACTTGGTAGAGCTTCTTTGGCTGGAA